GCCACTAGAGATCCTGGTTTGAATCCAGGCTCTGTCGCAGCCGGCCGCGACCGGAGACTCATGGGCGGCGCACAATTGGCCCAGCGTCGTCCAGGCTAGGGGAGGGAATGGCCGGCAGGGATGTAGCTCAGTTGATAGAGAATGGCGTTTGCAACGCCAGGGTTGTGGGTTCGATTCCCACGGGGGGCCGGTATAAAAAAAAAAAAAAAAAAAATATGTATTCACTAACTGTAAGTCGCTCTGGATAAGAGTGTCTGCTAAATGACTAAAATGTAAAATGTAATGGGCAGTCACTACCATCATGGGACTTTTATTAATTGTTTTATTCTGTGTTGTTACAGCATTCAACCCACACAATGCATAGTGTATTTAACGCTTTAAAAAATAATCAAAACCGAAATCCGTGATTATTTTTTAAATAATCGAACTGAAACCGAACCGACCTCAAAAAGCACTAATCGCTCAGCACCATTTAATACCTACAGTATTTTAAGGTTTAAACAAAATAAATAATTCAACCCTTTATTTTTTTCAACGTCTATAGAGACTTTGTCTTTTGTACTTTGTCAGTGCCTTGCAATGTCTTGCTTGTTGGTCCATTTTGGTAGAGCGCTTGTGTCAGCAAGAACCAATGATGTACTTTAAAGAGGAAATCTGCAGTGTAAACAATAACAAAACATCCTCCCCGCCACTGTTTCAGTAGAAAGCTGAGGGATGGGGCTGGAGAAATGTAACCACTCTCAAATTCATAGACAGCGCTAAGGCTGCAAGGACTGACCATCCATTATATACAAATGATAGTTTTAAACATGTTATACAGTGTTTGTTTACATTTACTTTGTTTACAAACATTGGAATCAAACAAGCTTATATTGTGGGTTCTGATTGGGTATGACAGTTGAACTAAGCTCATGGGACATTTAAATAAGTAATATTATTCAAGAATCAATGGGTACATATCATTAATTTATAAATCCAAAAATGGATGTAGCAACTGCAATTTGCCCCTTAAAGGTATCTTTACTTCTTGTGTTACGGCCTTGTTCACCATTGAAATTGCCAACAAACCCTGTTCAAACACCACAATACTTCCAAATCCATCTGAATGATTTTTTAAACTTTGATTGTAAACAGGAGTCAGAGTGGCTTCTGGGAAATCAGGAATTACAAAGCTGCTCTGGGCTATTAAGATGCACATAAAGGTTCACACAAAAAGAGTTCCTGTCCCTCCAATCCTAGCTAATCCTAAACCCTAGCCCTTCAACCCAGATTCTTACCAATACCAATACCAATCCCCATTTCATTCTTTGATCGTCAATATTAACTAACAAATGGGGCAAACGATAACCTTGTCAATGCCCATGGGGAAAATCTTAGAGGAACACTGTACTTAGTGTAGGGAGGGATACTGGCAATCTGAACCAAAAGCTAGTAGTTATAGGTTTGAGTATCTGCTTGAAGCTAAGCCAGGTATAAAAAAATTAAATAAAAGAAGGACTACAGACAGCCATGTGACAAAGTAAACGATTGGAAAACAACAGTTGTTAGCATGGTTTCATAACTAGACCTACTACACAACAAGCTAGTTATTTGAGGACAACATAGTATGACAGGTATGGGTACCAAAATGTATGAAAAGGTTACTCTCTCGAGACTACTCAGCTGATTTGGTTCTGGGTGCTGAGACTACGTTTCTCATTGATATATTACAGATGTAGGATCTTAATTTGAGCAAGTTTGCTACAGCAGGAAAATAATGCTGCAGCAACAGGAAATGTTAATTATTATGTGGAATATAATGAATGGACATTTATCATTAGGGCAAATTAAGTCTGTAATTTCAAAGAGCAAATTACAAACTTCAGAAGCCTTTTTAAACCTCAAATACACTACAAATTTGATATTTCCTGCAACAGGGTGATCAAATTAAGATCCTACATCTGTATTTGAATAAAACAATGCTCAATAGTGCTTGCGGAACTGTGATATGGCTTATCAACAATATGAAAAATGGTTATCCAGAGCAACTAAAATTAATATTTCTATGATTTGTATGTGCTCTGGCTGTCATTGCTGGCTCTCCTGTATGTCTGTCTATTGGCCCATAGACCTAAGGGATAGTTTGAACTCTCAGCTCAGTTTAATGAGATAAGGGACGCTAAGCACCCCATGACATGGACAGGACAGGAGATGACAATATGGTGACATCAAAGAGCTGAGGACAGGTCACAAATTGTGCTCGTCTCCGCTGCGTCAGAAACCCAACACCCCATAGCATATCAGCTTTGGTCTGTGTCGGCTCATCTCCCAAAGAAGGAGGTGGAGGTGGACTGAAATTTCAATATGGCCCCTACCGCTTGTTCCCCCCAGGTCGCCCTTCTGACGTTTGTTACTGTACACCGTGGTGGGTTGGATCAATAAACAGTAAAGCTCTTGGAAATGGGAGACAAAGAGAGGAGAGTTATTTCCCCTAGTGACCTTTTCTCCAATGTCCCAGTGAGAGAGAGAGAGAGAGAGAGAGAGAGTAGAGAGAGAGAGAGAGAGAGAGATGAACTCATATAATATGAGAGATAGAGAGAGAGAGAGAGAGAGAGAGGAGAGGAGAGATAGAGCTGATAGCTAAGATAGAGAGACGATAGCGACATAGAGAGAGGATGAGACTATTGAGATCTGAGATAGAAGATTAGGAGATATATCTATAGCTATCTCGCTCCTTATGCATAGACTCTCAGCTCTTAGCGACCGTATGCCTAGAGATATTGATATAGTATGATAGACAAGATAGATCAGATAGATGACTACTATACTATCAATATAGAAGCAACAAGAATAGTGATAAGAGCGATCGCATTTCGATAGATTCGTCATAAGATCCGATATTGATATAGAATATCTAATAGCAGCTATAATTATACAGAGAGAGAACAAATATGAGATAGACTACGCTATAGTAAGACAATCTATAGAATAAGAACAGACATAGATATATACATAGTACTATATATTGCTATTAAGATATATATATAGGCAGAAAATATCTATATTAATATATCTAGATAAGAGATAAGATAGAATCGATAATTACATCTAAGCTAGACTACATATCTTGTTTATCTCCTCTCATCCGTATCCTGACTCTCTCTTTCTCTCTCGCTTCTCTGCTCTATCTATCCCATTCATACTCTATTGATAGCTACTCTATTTCTATCTCTCTCTCATCTAGCTAGAGATAAGGATATACACAGACAGAATAGACGAGAAACATATACAGATAGATAGAATAAGAGAGCGAGAGAGATAGGGAGCAAGAGCAACCACACCACTCCCTGACATTATGTATAGGATACAGCTTACTGTGACTTGACAAATATTGTGTTGGCTGACCAACTAACGTGTACAATATGAACATAAGCCACTACAACTTCCAACACCATACTTACCATAGGCTGCAGCAAAGGCCTTTTGCCACAGACATAATAATGTTTGTAAGAAATAGTCAATTTCACATTTAGCATACACTCTTATCCAGAGCGACTTACAGGAGCAATTAGGGTTAAGTGCCTTGCTCAAGTGCACATCAACAGATTTTTGCCCACCTAGTCTGCTCTGGGATTCAAACCAGCAACCTTTTGGTTACTGGCCCAATGCTCTTAACACGTTTAACTGCCACCCTAATTTTGTCCATTGCTTAATAATTGATAGGATTTATAAAGTGCTTTTCTAAAACCCAAAGAAGCTTGAACAGGAGTCATCATTGAATCTGATATAGACCACTTTTGGGGTGTTTTATAATGTATTTGAGGACCCTGTTGTATTTGTAATTCACTGCATAATTGCCTCTAAAATCTGACTGTTTACATGAAAATTAGCTCTATAATGTGTTGTACATTATTTTGATAAACGCCAGACAAATGGACATACGGTGACACACATACACATTTATTGCAAGTGACTTATCTTCTTTTTTTTTTTTTTGCTTTCAGAACCATTTAGAAAGTTTGGACAAGTGGTTAAACGAGCTTTTTTATTTCCTGTTTGAAGACAGAGGTAGGTATTTTCCAATTGAAGACTGCAATGGTTGTTAAAACTACAAATAAAAGAAAAGAAAAGAAAATTGTATTTGTCACATACACGTGTTTAGCAGATGTTATAACGGGTGTAGCGAAATACTTGTGCTTCTATCTCCGACAGTGCGGTAATATCTAACAATTTCACAACATATACCCTATACATACAAATCTAAGTAAGGAATGGGATTTAAGAATATATACATATATGGACAAGCAATGACAGAGCTGCATGGACTAAGATACAGTAGAATATTATAGAATAGAATGCAGTATATACATATAGAGATGAGTAGTGCAAGATATGTAAACATTATTAAAGTGACTAGTGTTCAATTTCTTAAAGTGGCCAGTGATTTCAATAGGCAGCAGCAGCCTCTAATGTGCTATTGATGGCTATTTAACAGTCTGATGGCCTTGAGATAGAAGCTGTTTTTCATTCTCTCGGTCCCAGCTTTGATGCACCTGTACTGACCTCGCCTTCTGGATGATAGTGGGGTGAACAGGCAGTGGCTCGGGTGGTTGATATCCTTGATGATCTTTTTGGCCTTCCTGTGACATCGGGTGCTGTAGGTGTCCTGGAGGGCAGGTAGTTTGTGTGGTTGTCAAAACTACAAATATGTCTGCTCAGACTACAGAGTAGTGTCAGCTGATGTGTGACTGACATTACAGAGTCCTTCAAAGCTCACCTCACGCAGGAGAGTAGCAGTCTAGGTACAGGTCGGTGTGTGTAATCACATTGACCCATCTGAATACTAGAAATTCCAACAGCGGTGCCATATCCCCTTGTTATGTAACTTTCGACACATTTTACAGAACTTGGCTATTAGGCTTTATATCTGTGTAATTAAGGTGTAATAACCTATGTAATAACTCCGTAATAGAGTAGTAAATAGCTAGTTATGGAGTACACATTTTTTATATAGGCCTACTATGGAACTACCTATCCACACATACCTGGTCCAAGGTAAGTTATGATAGAAGTGTTGCCTTAAGGTTGTGATATGAAGTCATGTTTTAGGGAATTAGTTTTGTGTGGAATTTTGGCAAACAAACGTTGGGATTAATTCCTGTCAAGCACTGTCCTAGCCTCTACTCCACTCCGCAAGACACTGTCCAGATTCAAACCAAAGCTGCTCTGGAATACAAATGTGCCCGCGGAAGGCACCATAGCAGAAAAACAACAACATTATTAACTATGAAAATGAAAGCAGTGACAGCTTGCAAAGCAGCTTGTTCACCCCCCATTAGTCCATAGACGAGGACACGGTGACGTTCAAACAAACTGATTTGAATGTAGATGATCTGGTACATTGATCATGACGTAATGTATGTGGTCATGTAGAAACACTGTTCTGTTTATATTATAATTAGTCAATATGTTGGTACTATTGATATTATTGATTATTGATATTGTACTGCACTGTTGAGAGAGATTGCAAGTAAGCATTTTACTGCACTGTTTATACCTGCTGTGAACTGTGTACATGACGAATACAATTTGATTTCTATTTAGTACATAAACCATATAGGCTACGACAAGGATTTGTAATCATATGAAAATCATGAACAACATGCTATATCTTTTTTATAATCAGTTCAAATAGAGTGCAATATTAGATCTTATTGCCTATGACAGGTTAAACAGTCATGGTTTGAATGGTGGAATGGCATGATGATCCCAGCAGTGATTGTGTACTGTGTTCTCTCCCACCCCCCTTAGACTCCAGGGTACGAGGATGGCTCCTGTTGGACTCGTACCTCCCCACCCTCTCCCTCACCATCCTTTACCTCCTCACAGTATACCTGGGATCAAAATACATGAGGGACAGGCCAGCGTACTCACTCAAGGGTGTCTTACAAGTGTACAACTTCTCTGTGACCATGCTCTCCTTGTACATGCTGGTTGAGGTAAGTTGTTCTAAGACAAACCTCAAGAAGAGAGATGTCTGTGAGTCGGGGGCTATGAGTGCCTTTATATCCTGGGTTGTGTTCATTAGCCATCAAACATACTGACAGGGAGGGAGGGACTACCTTGACTTGTCCAATAAGAATTGCACATTTTCATTTTCCGTTGCAAAACACTTTGAAATGTTTTCCGTTGCGTGCCCTAATAAACATAACCCTGGGAAAGGGCATCTGTAAATGGAGTGTGTGTTACTGACACACCGTAGGTGGAAAGAGCATTACTCTGTCAGACAAGTCAGAAGACATCTATATTAATAACATCCTAGTATTATACAGCCGGCAAAAGTGATGCTGATGCTTCGATAAATTATTTGTGTGAAAACATATGTGATGCCTCAAAGTGATGTTCTTTCACCCCTCCGAGCGTGTTTGTGAGTGTGTGTGTGTGTATATATATATATATATACACTGAGTGTACAAAACATTAAGAACACCTTCCTAATGTTCCCACGATTGTGTCAAGTTGGCTGGAATGTCCTTTGGGTGGTGGACCATTCTTGATAAACACAGGAAACTGTTGAGTGTGAAAAACCCAGCAGCATTACAGTTCTTGACACAAGCCGGTGCGCCTGGCACCAAATACCTAACTACCATACCCCGTTCGAAGGCACTTAAATCTTTTGACTTGCCCATTCACCATCTGAATGGCACACATACACAATCCGTCTCAATTGTCTCAAGGCTTGAAAATCCTTCTTTAACCTGTCTCCTCCCCTTCATCTACACTGATTGAAGTGGATTTAACAAGTTACATCAATAAGGTATCATAGCTTTCACCTGGATTCACCTGGTCAGTCTATGTCATGGAAAGAGCAGGTGTTCATAATGTTTTGTACACTCAAATCAAATCAAATCAAATTTTATTCTGGGCCACATCCTGACTGATGGCAGCCCATTCTTGCATAATCAATGGAGTTTGTCAGAATTTGTGGGTTTTTGTTTGTCCACCCGCCTCTTGAGGATTGACCACAAGTTCTCAATGGGATTAAGGTCTGGGGAGTTTCCTGGCCATGGACCCAAAATGTCGATGTTTTGTTCCTCGAGCCACTTAGTTATCACTTTTGCCTTATGGCAAGGAGCTCCATCATGCTGGAAAAGGCATTGTTCGTCACCAAACTGTTCTTGGATGGTTGGGAGAAGTTGCTCTCGGAGGATGTGTTGGTACCATTCTTTATTCATGGCTGTGTTCTTAGGCAAAATTGTGATAGAACCCACTCCCTTGGCTGAGAAGCAAACCCACACATGAATGGTCTCAGGAAGCTTTACTATTGGCATGACACAGGACTGATGATAGCGCTCACCTTCTCCGGACAAGCTTTTTTCCGGATGCCCCAAACAATTGGAAAGGGGATTCATCAGTGAAAGTGACTTTACCCCAGTCCTCAGCAGTCCAATCCCTGTACCTTTTGCAGAATATCAGTCTGTCCTTGATGTTTTTCCAGGAGAGAAGTGGCTTCCTCGCTGCCCTTCTTGACACCAGGCCATCCTCCAAAAGTCTTCGCCTCACTGTGCGTATAGATGCACTCACACCTGCCTGCTGCCATTCCTGAGCAAGCTCTGCACTGGTGGTGCCCCGATCCCGCAGCTGAATCAACTTTAGGAGACGGTCCTGGCGATTGATGGACTTTCTTGGGCGCTCTGAAGCCTTCTTCACAACAATTGAACGTCTCTCCTTGAAATTCTTGATGATCCGATAAATGGTTGATTTAGGTGCAATCTTACTAGCAGCAATATCCTTGGGGCGACAATGCAAATAGTCTGGGTAGCCATTTAATTAGATGTTCAAGAGTCTTATGGCTTGGGGGTAGAAGCTGTTAAGAAGCCTTTTGGACCTAGACTTGGCGTGTGGTAGCAGAGTGGTAGCAGAGAGAACAGTCTATGACTAGGGTGGCTGAAGTCTTTGACAATTTTTAGGGCCTTCCTCTGACACCTCCTAGAATAGAGGTCCTGGATGTCTGTGTGTGTGTGTGTGTGTGTGTGTGTGTGTGTGTGTGAATGTTTGAAAAGGCCAGGCCCTGTGGCAATAGCAAGTTGACATTTATTGTCATGAATCTTAGCCTGGAGGAAGAACTGAGTGATTTCCGCTAGATGGGCCAGCTGCGAAGTCAAAATTGGTTATATTGTACAAATTAATGAAAACAAAAAAATATTTTTAGTCTTAATTTAAGGTTAGGGTTAGATATTAGGTTAGCAGTGTGGTTAGGGTTAAGGGTAGGGTTTTGTTTAAAATCCGATTTTATGACTTTGTGGCTGTGCCAGTTAGTGACCACTCTGCAGAGCTGCCTCCAGAACAACATTCATAACTCAAAACGCTAACCTGCGTGGCAAGACAGGAAGTCACAGTGTAGTCATGCTTCACTTTCCTCAGGGAGATAGAAAGAGAATAATGATGGGAGAGAGATAAGGGGGATGGGGAGGAGTCAACGCTTGGTACTATCTCACATTTGCTCCCTTCCCCTCACTCTCTCTGTCTCACCCCCCAATCTCTCTCTCTCTCTCTCTCTCTCTCTGTTGACCTGTATTGTCTCTCGTTTCTCCGTATCTCTCTGTTTTCGGTTCTCTCTCTTCTGTCTTCTTCTCTCTGTCTCTCTATTCTCTCATCTCTCTCTCTCATCTCTCCTCTCTCTCACTCTCTCTCTCTCTATCTGTCTCTATCTATCTCTCTGTAGGTTTCCCTCTCTCCAGTCTCTCGTCTCATCTGGGCTCTCTCGGTCTCTCCCCTCCATCTATTTATCTTCTCTCTCCTCAGCTCATCTGTCTCCCCCTCTCTCTGTCTCTCCATATCTCTCTATCATCCCTCTCGCCTCTCTGGCCTATATCTCGGGTCATCCTCCCCTCCATCGCTTTCTATTCTCTCCGCCTCCATCTCTCTGTCTCCTCTCTCTCTCCATCTCTCTCTCTCTCTCTCTCTCTCTTCTCTCTGTCTCTCCGTCTCTCTCTCTCTCTCTCTCTCTCTCTCTGGCTCTCTCGGTCTCTCCCCTCCATCTCTTTCTCTTCTCTCTCCTCCTCTCTCTGTCTCCCTCTCCCACTGTGACCTCTGGGCATGGGCCCGTCTGCTGACTCATATGACATGTTGGTCCAGAAGCCAGATCAGCTCTGATTCCAGGCTAGGTGAGAGAGTGAAGGACCATACAGACAGATTGCTCTCACTGGAAACCCTTCTAGGCAGGCTCCCACTCTTGCACAATACAGATTTATACTATTTATATTGCTAGAAAGATGATACTGTTATGTAATAGTAGAAATGTAAATCATGAAGATCTCTAGAGTGTAAGCTATGTCTAATGTCTATATGATAGGCAATGTGTGAAATAAAGCTTGAGGTGTATTTTGTAGGTTGTATTGTTAGTTCACGGCCCCGGGATCCTTTCTATGGATGGGCCCAGTTGAAAAGGCCTGAAGAGGAGTCTGTACTGCATTATGTGCTACTAACATATCCTCCATCTTAAACTGTTGGTGTGCACCACCTTTCATTTGACTTAATGAATAATCGATATGTTTCAATGCCCATAACCCTCGGTTATCTCAGATCTCTTTCACCCCTATGAAACTATCAGTGTATCCATCAGTTGGCAGGTAGCCTAGCGGTTATGAGTGTTAGGCCAGTAACCAAAAGGTCGCTGGTTCAAATCCCTTAGGCTGACTAGGTTACAAAACTGTCTATGTGCCCTTGAGCAAGGCACTTAACCCTAATCGCTCTGGATAACAGTGTCTGCTAAATGACTAAAATGTAAGTGTAGATGTCCTAAAGACATATAGGGATGGTTTCACAGCTTGAGCCTAGTCCTAGACTGAAAAGTATTCTCCAATGAAAGTGTTATATGGTATTGACTGTTGTTTACTCCACGGATAAACTTGATTTGTGTGTGAATCCTACACATGTACACTACATACATTCACTAAAGAGTAGAGCGAGGGAGAGAACATGTACACTACATACATTCACTAAAGAGTAGAGCGAGGGAGAGAGGGAGAAGTATGCTGTTGTAGGAGGAGAACAATGACCTGGGATCTATTTGTCGAGCACTGGGATCTATTTGTCGAGCACTGGGATCTATTTGATGAGCACTGGGATCTATTTGATGAGCACTGGGATCTATTTGATGAGCACTGGGATCTATTTGATGAGCACTGGGATCTATTTGATGAGCACTGGGATCTATTTGATGAGCACTGGGATCTATTTGATGAGCACTGGAATCTATTTGACGAGCACTGGGATCTATTTGACGAGCACTTGAGCACAATTAGGTTGCGGAGAGCAGTCACATATCCCTCTTTGTGGAAGTTTATACAGGGGTGACCTAATCTGACCTAATCTGACTTGATCCTGACCTAATCTGACCTAATACCATTAGAACTGCTCACTGGGTTAGACTGACACGGCAGAGAAAGAGAGGGAGGGTCGGGCTACTGCCTCAGCTCAGTCAGTCAGGACAGGGATACAGATGTGTGTGGGGAGGGGTCTGTGGGGGAAGGGGTGGGGTGTGTGTGGGGCAGGGTGGGGTGTGTGTGGGGTGTGTGTGGGGCAGGGTAGGGTGTGTGTGGGGTGTGTGTGGGGCAGGGTGGGGTGTGTGTGGGGTGTGTGTGGGGCAGGGTAGGGTGTGTGTGTGGGGCAGGGTGGGGTGTGTGTGTGGGGCAGGGTGGGGTGTGTGTGGGGCAGGGAAATTGTGCATGACTGTGTGTGTGTGTGTGTGTGTGTGTGTGTGTGTGTGTTACAGGGAAATGGTGCATGACTGTGTGTGTGTGTGTTTGGGTGAGAGTTATACTGTGACGTTGACCATGGTGTTTTGGTTGCAGCTTGTCTGTGCAACCTCGTCGGCAGGCTACCGTCTGCAGTGTCAGGGACTCCACGAGGCAGGGGAGGCGGACCTCAGGGTGAGTGACACCATGGCTGACTCACTAATCCTTCCCACCATCTGCCCTTCCTCTGTCTACTCCATGACTGGCCTCTGAAAACCATTGAAATAGAAATGCACAAATGTATCTAATAAATAACACAAACCTACTCTTAACATTTTGAAGAAAGGAACCATGTAGTGTTGACTGTTGTTCCCTTACTACTTATTATAAACGTTACAACCATCTAGTTAAGAAATGCAATGTCTCCTGCACTCGCATATCAAGTGTCTCAACAGATGCTATCATTGCTATGTCTGTTCATAGACAGTACATTATGAGTTGAAACTATGGAGCTCGTATAAACCAGTTCTCCGTGACTCAAGTCAAATATGCTAAAGCCCTCGCTGTGTAGCCTCGAACAACCAGCCTGATCTCGTATACACGGATACAGTACAGAGAATAATTTATGTAAGCTCGCGAGATCAGGCTGGTTGTCCGAGGCTACTTGCTGTTTCCAGAGTGGGAGGAAATGCTAGAGGTCCAGGTCTCTCTGAGGAAAGTGTGGTAGATATGTGAGTACCATCACATGCTGCTACCTCCTCCAACTTCAAAAGGAAATGGGCCGTATGATATAATTCTGTCAGCTAGTGTCCACGAATGGCATCCCCCCATCCCCCATCTTCTGCACCTCTCTCCCCCCTAGTTTGAAAACATTGTATCTGAATGTGATGTAAAGCAACATATGCAAGAATACAAATGTGTAATGTATTAAACACAAAGAGATTGTGGCACAAGTTCATTACAATGTATTACAATTAAATGAATTACAATGAATTACATAAGTTAATTACAGTCACATGAACTGTAAATGACAGAATAATAATGAATGTTCACTGCTACACTGAAATATTGAAATTACATCGTGGTCACATTTTTGGTGTTATTCTGAAGTACTTCTTTAAGTAACAGGGTCATAGTTACAGACACGATCATGAAAGGGAAGCTGATGCAGTACTGACCATATGACTGCACAGTCCCCTTTAAGCTCTTCTATAAACTCCACAGGTAGCCAAGGTGCTGTGGTGGTACTACTTCTCCAAGGTCATTGAGTTCCTGGACACCATATTCTTTGTGCTGCGGAAGAAGAACAGCCAGATCACCTTCCTGCACGTGTATCACCACGCCTCCATGTTCAACATCTGGTGGTGTGTTCTGAACTGGATCCCCTGTGGACAGAGTAGGTCACACCCACTTCCACCCACATCACTGTTAGAATGCATCCTTCAAAGGGACTTGATTGATCTAAGAAGGGGCTCTGGGCGTGGTATAGGCAGAGACGGAAGAGGGAAGCGAGACATCTCAATCGCTCCTTTTTTCTGGTTCATATACTATACTAAGTACATATACTAAGCAGACCAGACCATAGAGCTATATAGAGGACTCATCTTTGTATCTGTGCCATTATAGCTTCTGTGACAGCATGGGCAACGCCACTGAGGCTACCTCTATTTTAAAAGAGTCCATTATCTTCTTCTTCACGACTGGCTGATCCCTCCTTATGATCCGGATGGACATGACTCCAACAGGGTCACCAGGAGGGATCAGGCAGTGAAGTTGGAAATCCCACCCAGTTGACTATATGAAAACAGGGGAAGCTCTCAATAGCGCTGCCCATGCTAATACGGCCTTTTAGCCATCATTCTCTATGGACCAGACCCAGCTGCTAATGTATTGGTGCCTATGGGAGAGCCACCCCTTTTCAATGGCAAACGGCCTGAGTGGGACATCTTCATTTATCCACCATCTTTGATATAGGTTAATGTTAGGGTCAGATGGAGACTAGAGATGTGGTTGATGTTCTTCCTGAGGAAACTTTCTAAAACCTATTCTTCAATGTTGGAGCCCAAAGGGGGTAGTTCTGATTCTGCTGATTACGCCAACGTTCTTCAAGCAGGTTAACTAGCCCAAACAACTTGAACATGTCCCTGCTACAAGCAATTTGCAAATGCTGCTTTATTCCTTTTCTCACTGTAATTGTGTTGCCTTTGTGACAGTGACAGACCAAACTGCTGAATTTCAATGTGAAAAGTTTGTCAAATATGTCAATCAATAATTCATTTCTCCAATATCTTTTTCAAGGTTTCTTTGGGCCGACTCTTAACAGTTTCATCCACGTGTGTATGTACTCCTACTATGGCCTGTCCACAATACCTTCCATGCAGAAATACCTCTGGTGGAAGCGTTACCTGACTCAGGCTCAGCTAGTGAGTAAATTCCTTTCATGAAATGAGTGCTTGTTTCCAATCAAGCCTGTATGATCTTACTTGAACAGTGAAGGGAACTACTCTTCTAGTCTAAGAACAATGGCCAACATTAACTATAGATCTGGGACGATAAGAGCCACGCAGGTTAGAGAAATGATAAGACCCCTGACAGGGGGGTTTCCCCCTCTTTGCTCTCTCTGTCTCAGATCCAGTTTATACTGACCATCACACACACCCTGTCCGCGATCGTCGTCCCTTGTGGTTTCCCCGTCGGATGCCTGCTCTTCCAGTTCTCCTACATGGCCAGCCTCGTCATCCTCTTTGTCAACTTCTACATCCAGGTACGACCGGGGTAACCTTCACATGAACACGGGATTAAAACTGGGCTGTGTATAATAGGACACGAGAAGAAAAATGCTTTAAAATGTTTTGCAAACAGAACGTGTGTTTCTTATTGGGAAAGTCCACAAATACGACCATGTTAGAGCTTAATTTAAAGGCATGTCTGAATATTTATGTTGGTTTTTCAATGGTCATAAGTTGCCTGCTTTTATCCCAGACCTACAGGAAAAGACGGCCAGGAGAATCCATCAAGTCCAGTCACCCGAATGGCCACTCTGTCTCCACCAATGGCACCAGCCTCAAGAAGAGAAAGTAGTATTCGGACCTGGTTGTCAAGACAACAACCTTCTTCAACAACCACCAGAATCTATACGTGCCGTGACACTACTGCTAAAATGCTCCAAAACAGGGATAAACATCAGTATGTATGTTGCATTTTTGTATAGAATACTTCGTACTTAATTTTTGTATCAAATCCTTTGTTTGGTTTCCTTGAAGCTTGACAACGTATGTATAACATACTGTGTGTACAGGAATGAGGCGCTCATTTCCGTTGCACTTTCAATTGCTGAAATGCAAGTGTGAAAACTCCATCCATTCCTTACCACGCAGTAAACTATGCAGTTCATAGTTTTATTCTCATAGTGTAAAAACCTGAATACAATCAGCAATTTCCACAATACTTTGACATAATTTACTTTGCTATAAAGTCAAACATTGCTTTATTGAATATAGCCCATGTGTACAGTGTATACTCACCGAAAATATCACTCCAGAGCATTCACTTAAATCATTGTTAAACTAAAGATGCCTTAGAAACACTGCAAGACCTTATACCTGATGTATCACAATGTATTTGAATGTCTTTGTTTACGGGTGCAAAACATGCTGGTAAACATTTGACTGGTTCTGTAGAAAAAGCAATATTGAACTGGCTTTCCTGACGACTTTGGTAGACTTTGTACATTGAGAAATGCAACCACTTATCAATATCTTTGAATGGCTATCAGCAAACAGACAAAATAAAAGTACTTTAAAAAATTTAACGAGCATGGTCTACCTTGATCTATGATGACGAACGACGTCCCTGAAATTCATCAGCCATGATCTTTTAGCTTTTGATGTGTTAGCTATTAGCTATTGATGTGTTAGCAATTAGCTATTGATGTGTTAGCTATTAGCTATTGATGTGTTAGCTTTTAGCTATTGATGTGTTAGCTATTAGCTATTGATGTGTTAGCTATTAGCTATTGATGTGTTAGCTATTAGCTATTGATGTGTTAGCTATTAGCTATTGATGTGTTAGCTAGCAGCTATTATTGTGTGTATTTTGAACAATGCCAGCAAAAGATTAGCAAGATTGCTTGTGTGAGAACCTTGGTCACGCTCTGAGCCATTATGCGTATCTGTATGATGTCTCTGTATGACGTCAACGTCAGGGTCCAAGGTGGTGAGTGTTTCAACAGGAAGTGGAGGGTCCTGGCTTCTCTTTCCTTTGTAATAATAATAATAATATGCCATTTAGCAGACGCTTTTATCCAAAGCGACTTACAGTCATGCGTGCATACATTTTTGTGTATGGGTGGTCCCGGGGATCGAACCCACTACCTTGGCGTTACAAGCGCCGTGCTCTACCAGCTGAGCTACAGAGGACCACAATTACTGTCACCAGCTCTCTACATTGGAGGTTCCTGCGGAGAGGAAGAGAGGATAAGTCATCTTTATTTCAATTTTAAAAGAGATAGTTCACTTACCTTATTTTGGATGCTATGAAAAAATATTTGCCCCCTTTCTAATTTTCACTACTTTTGCATATTTGTGAAACTGAATGTTATCAGATCTTCAACCAAAACTTAATATTAGATAAAGGGAACATAAGTGGACAAATAACACAACAATTACATATTGATTTCATGAACAAAGTTATGCAACACCCAATTCTTACAGTCAATAACTGGTTGTGCCACCTTTAGCTGCAATGACTCCAACCAAATGCTTCCTGTAGTTGTTGATCAGTCTCTCATGTCGCTGTGGGGGAATTTTGTCCCACTCTTCCATGCAGAACTGCTTTAACTCACTGCATTCCACAGTAAGAACGTCATACCAAAGGTCAAGCATGGTGGTGGTGGTGTGATGGTTTGGGGATGCTTTGCTGCCTCAGGACCTGGACGACTTGCCTTAATAGAAGGAACCATGAATTCTGCTCTGTATCAGAGAATGCTACAAGAGAATGTCCGATTTTTGCAGTTCGTTCCAGTCATTTGCAGCAAAGAACTGCAAAGGGTGGGTGTTGCTATGGTGACCAATGATCTAAGATAAGGCGGGGATTTGCCTAGAAGTGATTTATAGATGACCTGGAGCCAGTGGGTTTGGCGACGAATATGTAGTGAGGACCAGCCAACGAGAGCGTACAGGTCACAATGGTGGGTAGTATATGGGGCTTTGATGACAAAACAGATGGCACTGTGATAGACTACATCCAATTTGCTGAGTAGAGTGTTGGACGCTATTTTGTAAATGACATCGCCGAAGTCAAGGATCGGTAGGATAGTCCGTTTTACGAGGGCATGTTTAGCAGCATGAGTGAAGGAGGCTTTGTTGCGAAATAGGAAGCCGATTCTAGATTTAACTTTGGATTGGAGATGCTTAATGTGAGTCTGGAAGGAGAGTTTACCGTCTAACCAGACACCTAGGTATTTGTAGTTGTCCACATACTCTAGGTCAGACCCGTCGAGAGTAGTGATTCTAGTCGGGTGGGCGGGTGCCAGCAGCGTTCGATTGAAGAGCATACATTTAGTTATAATAGCGTTTAAGAACAGTTGGAGGCCACGGAAGGAGTGTTGTATGGCATTGAAGCTCGTTTGGAGGTTTGTTAACACAGTGTCCAATGAAGGGGCAGATGTATACAAAATGGTGTCATCTGCGTAGAGGTGGATCTGAGAGTCACCAGCAGCAAGAGCGACATCATTGATATACACAGAGAATAGAGTCGGCCCGAGAATTTAACCCTGTGGCACCCCCATAGAGACTGCCAGAGGTCCAGACAACATGCCCTCCGATTTGACACATTGAACTCTATCTGAGAAGTAGTTGGTGAACCAGGCGAGGCAGTCATTTGAGAAACCAAGGCTATTTAGTCTGCCAATAAGAATGCGATGATTGACAGAGTCAAAAGCCTTGGCCAGGTCAATGAAGACGGCTGCACAGTACTGTCTTTTATCGATTGCGGTTATTATATCGTTTAGGACCTTGAGCGTGGCTGAGGTTCACCCATGACCAGCTCGGAAACCCGATTGCATAGCGGAGAAGGTACGGTGGGATTCGAAATGGTCGGTGATCTGTTTGTTAACTTGGCTTTCAAATACTTTCGAAAGGCAGGGCAGGATGGATATAGGTCTGTAACAGTTTGGATCTAGAGTGTCACCCCCTTTGAAGTTGCAGCGGAGGGTGCAGAGTTGGCAGAGTTGGCAGAGTTGGTGGCCGGGGTAGGGGTAGCCAGGTGGAAAGCATGGCCAGCCGTAGCAAAATGCTTGTTGAAATTTTCGATTATCGTAGAGTTATTGGTAGTGACAGTGTTTCCTAGCCTCAGTGCAGTGGAGGTGCAGTTTGGAGGTACTCTTATTCTGATATGCTAATTGACATCATTTGAGTCAATTGGAGGTGTACCTGTGGATGTATTTCAAGGTCTACCTTCAAACTCAGTGCCTCTTTGCTTGACATCATGGGAAAATCAAAAGAAATCAGGCAAGACATCAGAAAAAAAATGTTGGACCGCCACAAGTCTGGTTCATCCCTGGGAGCAATTTCCAAAAGCCTGAAGGTACCACGTTCATCTGTACAAACAATAGTACGCAAGTATAAACACCAGGGGACCACGCAGCCTTCATACCGCTCTGGAAGGAGACGTGTTCTGTCTCCTAGAGATTAACGTACTTTGGTGGGAAAAGTGTAAATCAATCCCAGAACAACAGCAAAGGACCTTGTGAAGATGCTGGAGGAAACAGGTACAAAATTATCTATATCCACAGTAAAACGAGTCCTATATCAACATAACCTGAAAGGCCGCTCAGAAAGGAAGAAGCCACTGCTCCAAAACCATCATAAAAAAGCCAGACTACGGTTTGCAACTGCACATGGGGACAAAGATTGTATTTTTTGGAGAAATGTCTTCTGGTCTGATGAAACAAAAATATAACTGTTTGGCCATAATAACCATTGTTATGTTTGGAGGAAAAAGGGGGACGCTTGCAAGCCGAAGAACGCCATCCCAACCGTGAAGCACGGGGGTGGCAGCATCATGCTGTGGGGGTGCTTTTCTGCAGGAGGGACTGGTGCACTTCACAAAATAGATGGCATCATGAGGAAGGAAAAGTATATGGATATATTGAAGCAACATCTCAAGACATCAGTCAGGAAGTTAAAGCTTGGTCGCAAATGGGTCTTCCAAATGGAAAATGACCCCAAGCATACTTCCAAAGTTGTGGCAAAATGGCTTAAGGACAACAAAGTCAAGGTATTGGAGTGGCCATCACAAAGCCCTGACCTCAACCCTATAGAAAATGTGTGGGAAGAACTGAAAAAGCGTGTGCGAGCAAGGAGGCCTACAAACCTGACTCAGTTACACAAGCTCTGTCAGGAGGAATGGGCCAACATTCACCCAACTTATTGTGAGAAGCTTGTGGAAGGCTACCCGAAACGTTTGACCCAAGTTAAACAATTTAAAGGCAATGCTACCAAATACTAATTGAGTGTATTTAAACTTCTGACCCACTGGGAATGTGATGAAATAAATAAAAGCTTAAATAAATCTTTCTCTCTACTATTATTTCACATTCTTAAAATAAAGTGGATTCCTAACTGACCTAAGACAGGGACTTTTTACTAGGATTAAATGTCAGGAATTGTGAAAAACTGAGTTTAAATGTATTTGGCTAAGGTGTATGTAAACTTCCGACTTCAACTGTAACTCTCCCACTGTCTGTCACAGACTGACCGCACGGACTGAGACTCGCTCTGACAAAAGTTCTGAATAATGGAAGGAGTTTTTTCCAAAACAATGTTAAGAATCATATGTCACAGGATTGATTTCCTAGCAAGCTAGCGAGGCAAGGTAAAATATCACAAATAGATGTACAGTAGATAAATCCAGAATAATAATATACTTCTTAACATAGCTATAGCCATCAGTCTGGTATGTTTTCATGGTCATCACTCTTTTTGGTACCGGGATGCACGCACATCACTCAAACGTGACGCTTGCTAGTAAACAAAAATATTTCTCTATACATCAGCCACAAATGAAGAAAACTAAAACTAACTGAAACAGGAGTGGGACTACCCAGCCTGGTCTCATAGACTACACATAACATAGTAAATGTAAATCCAGGACACTCAAATTAGCATGTTAGGTTTGGTATAGCTACATAAGACAGAAGATTACTTAAGGCAAAAACGAAAGGAGGGTAGTTGGTCGGGTGGATGGGTAGGCATATAAAGCAAAGGTTGCGTGTTTGAATCTCATCACGGGCAACTTTAGCACTTTAGCAACTTTGCAACTACTTACTAGTTTTTAGCTACTTTGCAACTACAGTACTTAGCACATTAGCTAACCCTTCCCCTAACCCTAACCTTAACCCTTTTAGCTAACCATTCACCTAACCCTATCCTTAACCCTTTAGCCTAACTCCTAACCTTAACCCTAAACCCTAACCGTAACGCCTAGCTAACGTTAGTGTTAGACACCTAGCCAATGTAAGCAACAACAAATTGGAATCTGTAACATATCATACGTTTAGCAAATTCTTAACATATTGTACGTTTGCAAATTTTTACAAATTGCACGAATTGCAATACGTAGCATATTGTACGAATTGCAATTCGTAACATATCATACAAATTGTATTTCGTAACATATAACATGAAATGGATGATGAACATTCACAAAATTAATATATACCATACGAAACGTAACATATCATACTAAATGGAGTCTCTCGGATTTACATACAGAATTATACAAAATGCTCTGAGACCAGGTCCAG